GCTCTAGTTCATTAATGTCAAAGCATATGGTGTCCTCCAGGGCTTTCATTCTTGGCCCTGTCTTAGATGAAGTTTGCTAATAAATGTATGGAAGCTCAGCAGGGTTCTGGTTACGTGGTTGACAACAGATTTTTTGCAAAATACAATAAGGAAAAAATGGTCTATACGTGTTCTGAGTATGAAACCACATATAATACTATATTATCTTACTTTTATTTCAGTTAAACGTGGACTACAGTTTCAGAGTGTGCTGCAAGATGGTCCGTGGCTGGTCTCCATGGAGCATTCCACAAGTTGCTAGGACAACTTTGCTGCAGCATGGTAACCAAATCAACTACGCAACATTCACATTCTCTCACATGTTTTGTGTGTGTCTCTTGACTAAAGATCTCCAGAAATGTGTCATGATAATGTCCTTTTTGATAAAGTTAAGTCTCGACTTTGCAAATAGAATGGCTAAAAGCCAGCAACCTTGAAAGAAAATTAGTGCCTGTATCAGCTAATAATTGTCTTCGTCAGAAGGACTATGAAATTGTCTCGCCGGAGTGTGGGGAACTGCGGATTTTGCAATATAACTCTGGAAGGCATGATTCGACGTCCATGATTTTTGGCAGGCATATTACCGCTGTTGAGGCCAAAGTCAAGTACAAGTTTCGGCTTCGTGGGGGGTCCGTGCGTCACGTTAGTGCACCTTTTGTGTCTGTGGCTTGTTAGCAAGATAACTCAAGTATTTGTAAAATGTTGATTATAATTCTTGGTGTGGTGCTTACTATTGTTGGGACCAAGGTTAAGTTCGTTACTGAGCTTCGTGGGGGGTTTCGTTGTGACTACAGGGGGCATTTTGTTAATTTTTCTTGTGAGCAGGATAACTTTTGTATGTGTGGATGGAAGTTAATGAAATTTGATAGGCATATTACTGTCGTGGTCTCCAAGATTGAGTTCAAAGATGAGAGTCGTGGAGGTCGTTATGTCCCCGTAATAGGACCTTTTGTGTTTAGAAATTCCCCCTACATCTGCTTGGAGACAGCCGACAGCTGGATATAGCCGGGGAACCCCATAATGGGATGGGATCAAATGACGTTACATTGAGGGATTGTACTATAACTTCAGCAGGGGGAGGATAGGTTGGACATATGTCAGGTTATTTTCTACGGCCACACCAAGTAATTGCTATGGATGACGCCCACTGGAGACCTTAAATCTAATTACCTTAAATTTAAGGCAAGCGCGCAATAAAAACACGAAGGGCCGAAAAACGAGATGCCTAGATTTGGAATATACTAACTGTAGAAGTACAAATGTTAGGACACAAAGAACACAAGAAACAAGTCTTCTATTTGTCATAAAGACAAATTAACAAAACAGCAGTAGTCACCCTGTTCTGATTCTTTCCTTTATAACATCTTCTCTTATTATATTTTGCGGCGCTGTCGTGACACTTTCAACACAGTTAGAATTTCTTGAACGTTTTTTTTCCAGTAACAGTCCAAACTCAAATAACGTGGGGGGGGGGGTTAACACGGGGGGCTAACACGACGCATCTGTATAATCTGCGGCAAACCGTTTCAGGGTGTTCTGTACCATAAAAATAGTACAGAGATTCTTTTGTTCTTTAGACCAAATTGATTATTGAAAAGATTGAAGAATACGCATGTTAATTTCTCTAGAACGATGTACCTCTGACGAAGACATGAGATCTCCGACCTCTAGTTTTATAGTGTCTGTATCTTGCAGCCAATAATATTACAGTGTCTGTATCTTGCAGCCAATAATATTACAGTGACTGTATCTTGCAGCCAATAGTATTGCAGTGTCTGTATCTTGCAGCCAATAATATTACGGTGTCTGTATCTTGCAGCCAATAATATTACAGTGACTGTATCTTGCAGCCAATAATATTACGGTGACTGTATCTTGCAGCCAATAATATTACAGTGACTGTATCTTGCAGCCAATAGTATTGCAGTGTCTGTATCTTGCAGCCAATCAACCATAACCGTTACTTTAAATGTTTTACTGTTGTTCTCTCAGAGTGGGAGGTTGCAGAGGATTCTGGGTACACGTTGGGTAACGGGAACACGACCCTGACCAGAACATCTCCCAACGCGGCCATCAGTGTGCTGCACTCCAGCAAGAGCAGTCTGTTGTGTGGGGATATGGTCACTTTCAAGGTAAGAATCTTTTTAACCTTACTAAGGCCACACCAATTTAATTTGTTGGTTCACGGATTCGCCCCCTTCATTTTTTTCTTTGAAAAAAAAAGACAACCTTTCAGCCTCTGAATCAACTCCAAAATGATCATATTTTGGCCCCAAGAGTTGAAGGAAGTTCCTTCTCTTCAGAGTTGTTACACTGTTTCTCCATATATCAATGCAGTGGTTTGATTAAAGTGTGAAATTCATTGTTTGAATTACAAACCAACCTGGTATGTAGCATATAGCATCCTGGTATGTAGCATGATGCTACTAGCATCCTGTCATAGCATTTGGGGCTATCATAGGATACCTAGGTTTGTTTTTATTTTTTTCCCCTTCGCTTTTTTTTTTAAATCTGAGAACCAACAAATGAAATTGTTGTGGCCTAGTGGCATGAAGAAAACACCTATAGGCTGCAAGTGACTCTATCCCAAATAAACCATTCATAATCACCAACATAGTCATGTGTATTGAAAGCTGTGTGTATTAATTATATTAGGGCAAATCTAGCACGTCTAGATCTCTATTTCTTAAGGCACTTCCATTGGCTGACACATTCAGTGAGACAACTACGAAAGCTTGAAAACCGTGTACACAGAAACTGTTTTTGAGACAACTTTTTGTATGTTTGTATGTTTGGTCCCCAGGTTAATGGAACAGGAAAAACTCACCGCGGAGATGGACTTGGCCTTGTACTAGTGCAAGAAGAAGACTCCATCCTACAGCGTATAGGCGCGGTATGCGTAGGTTCCACGGGAGTCGTTCACGTCAACGGGAAAGAAATGACCAATCAGCTTCCAGCTCTCACTAAGGGCACCACCGTGACCTTTGACACCAGCAAGGTCGCCAGCGACACTAAGAAGTTGCGTGTGTCGATCACGGTAGCCGACAGACAGGTCACGTGCGAGTGGGTTCCGGGTGGGGACCTCAGCGAACACTTATATTTCGCAGCCTGCTTCGTACATAAGGGATGGGAAATCACTGTAGAATGATCAGGAAGCAGCACTGGTCTCTTTGGATATGGAATGCCACTGGAAATTATTCTCTACCAGACTAACTACGCTGGCTATATATAGGAGAATATTTGCCAGGGGAGTTTGGCTGCCTTGCAGGTTTGACTTCAGAAGGAAAGAAACTACATGTACCTCCCCGCGGCCGGACTCCCTTGGCCAATTTTACTCTCTTTTTTGCCGAATTCTACAATTTGTATTCCCGTAGAAAGGTCTGGTAGAGGCTAACTGGAAATGTCGAACTTTTAATAAATTTACGAGGCCAAATCTCTATATCCGAAAGAAAGATACCGCAATAAAAAGCAAAGGATGCACTTTGAAAAGACTGTGAAACTTCAGTCAAAATTGTACAAGCTTCTAAAACTCATTGCCCATACAGTTTTTAAGACTTTCCAGATACAAGTTGACCAGTGTGGCGAATGGAAATTTAATGTAGTGGTTCAATCTCTGCACTCTTCTTTGCTGCACATGGCTGAATGAATTTATACAGCAACATACATGTCAATGAGTGTGTAGTAAGTTAGTAAAAGGCATAGGTGATGAGAGCTATAGTTAAGTCTTATATCCATGTGAAACATTATGTCAATGATAAGAATCTAGGCACAATCAAGGCTTGTGCTCTCTATGTATAATTTGTTGAAACTTATCATAGATGTTGGAAATATACAAAATGCTAAAATTGAAGGCTAGGTGTCATTACCAGACTTTTACATTAGGGATTTTACTTGGTATTATTATGTATCCAATTGAATTGTTTGTGTTCATTGAGATTATCAGGTTATGAATATCAGGTTGTGAATATCCAGCTTAATCATTACAAACATGTAACTGTTGCCACCATATTTAATTATCACAGTTTACTATGTGATAAGAGCCTCTAGATAAATAATACAGTCGTCATATAATACCAGTAAGACTTAAAATGACATTCCAGGCAAGTTAGCTGTTGTTATCATGTTTCAGCAATAGAATACCAGTAAATACAAGTGTCTACAAAATAAGGATTGCCACTGCCAGTACATGTGTATTGCATACTATAGGCCACAGCATCTGCATGTGTAAATTGTAATCTTTGCAGCTAGTTGAAGTTGAAAGAACGTAAAATCTGCTTGGAAAGGGCTCACAGCTCCGTACTATGCGACCTCAATACAACATGATGGCCCAGTTTGTTTAGTTTATATAGTAGTTAAGTATCAAAATTGCCATGTGTTAGGGCAGTGGTATAGAAAGCATGTATTGTTCGCAATCAAGTTTTTAATGCCCACTCTGTTTCTCGTTCTCAACAACAATTGAACTTTTTACCCTACTGGGTAGATCCAATGGGTCAGTTTATTGTAGCTGTATTTTATAGTGCAAAATGTCTTGTTGGGAAGACCCTTCATTTGCAGTAAGAGGCATTGTGCAATACCAAAATATACAATATCCTTTTAAGAATTTCTTCTCCGAAACATCTATCATGTTTACCATAAATTCACTGATTTATTCCTGTAAAGGTAAATCATCTCGATCACGTTTCATGACTCTGCAAAGGCTTTGGAAGTGTTCCATACAGGAGTACAGTTGTTGCAACTCAATGAAATTACTCTACCTTTTCTACATTGTTAGGTTCTGATATGCAATAATTTGTTATTATGAAAACAAGCCACATTTGTATTTGAACAGACCAGTGTCTAGATACTAGTAGATGTTTTTTTTACTATTCATGTGAAGAAAAAGCAGTTTAGATGCTGGTCTGATTGTTTCAGATGTCAAATGATTGTAGGCACAGCAGTCTCCCTTACATGTCATTATGTTATTATATGTTGCACCCAGTTAGCCTGCAATGTAAGCTAGTTACAATACTTGATGCATGTACCTGTCCATGTTTTAACAGTAACTTGTATTATTTGACATTCCAACAGATCTAGAAGCACCGATTTTACAGTTGTGTTGCTATGTTTGTAGTGCTTATTCACTAATGACACTTTGAGATATAACAACATCTGAAACTGCTGTATTTTTAAGTGTCATTGGTGGCATAAGCACTTTAATGTTGACTGCCATACTTGCCAAAGAAATATGTTCACTTGAACAGCAAAGAGTCTCTTTATTTTTTCATTCACACCCATTGTGCAGTACATTTGTTTACTTACCATATATGTTCACCTGTCCTACCTGTACCATTTGTGTGTGTACATGTAAAGTAGTGTTAACAATTGTTTATATTTTACAGTTCTAAACAATAACAGACATTTTTACATATGTATGTGTTTTACCGGCCACCAATAAACATTACTTACACTGTATACTGATTGGAAATTGTTCAAAATAGAGAATAATTGAGCATAGTGAATTAACACAGTGTTCATGCTGTCTTTAACATCAACTGTGTACATCTAACCTGTACTTTTGCAGTATTGTAGGGTGCTATGTCTGAGTATATACTAAATAGTACTACGTGTATCAACATGGACTTGTATGGGCAAGGCATATTTCCAACAACATATTAGATAAAACTACCCCTGATAACATTAGTTCCTTGCAGATTCCATCTTACTATGAATACTCAAACATGCTAGATGTCTTACATTTACAACAAATGTCAACAAAAAAACAGTAAAATGCTCCTGAGAACCTGCATCAATGACCTTTTAAATGTTACTCTGTATCAATGTAGACTTTCTACTCTTGGTCTATATCTGATCAAGAAGACTAGGTCTCTATGCAGCTTTAACTTTCTTCCTGCTATGTAGCCCCTTATCTAGTACAATGTTAAAGGCTTCTATAGCAGGGAGAAGGTTATAATTAGTGATGCATACCTAAACCCAATTTTAGGTTCAGGTCCGGATTCAAGTCCAGAGGTTTAGGTTCAGTTCCGGACTTGTAAGTCCGGACCTAAACCCATGGCATATACCATATTGCATGTTTGCAACCTTGCAATGTTGTCTGGGTGAAACTTTGGCCACAACATGGAGGCCGGTACTTGGTGATGCCCGAAGGCAATGTTTTCTTCATTTTGCAGCAAAGTTTTTACAATCTACGGAAGGTTTTAGGTGGTTTGGAAAGAAAAGGAGTATGTGAAATGGTCTTTTATGGTATTAAGTCCTCGGTTCTTGACTTTTAGGTTTTTTTTTACTTGAACCTAAACATTCTTACAAGTCCGGATCCAAGTCCAGTGAACCGGTATGCATCACTAGTTATAATTAAGTGATTGCATGGCATAGGTACAGTGCATGCATGATTTTAGTTCGTGAAATTTGCTATAACACTTAATGAGATCTCACAATGAAGCGAAACAATAGTACAGACAAAACCTCCCTATGATCTAACTTTATATGTTAAGTTCAGTCCAACCAACATTAAAAAAAAATACTGAACATCCTTCTTAGCAATAGACGTAAGTCAACATTGTAGCAGATGATGTAGATGATAGTCTCTATCCAGAGCAGCCTCTGCAGCCACAGTGTACACACTCCACAATACGACCCTGAAGGAAACAACATGTTAGACGTTAGTACAAGACTCCTCCTTACAGATACCATAACATACTAGTACTGTAATAGAATGCTTTATGTATCTTTTACAAAATACATGTATACATGGGTATAGGGGCGAAAGACTAATCGAACCATCTAGTAGCTGGTTCCCTCCGAAGTTTCCCTCAGGATAGCTGGCACTCTGTCGCAGTTTTATCTGGTAAAGCGAATGATTAGAGGTCTTGGGGCCGAAACGACCTCAACCTATTCTCAAACTTTAAATTGGTAAGGTGTCCGACTCGCTCGAGTGGAGCCGGGCCTGGAATGCGAGTGCTCAGTGGGCCACTTTTGGTAAGCAGAACTGGCGCTGCGGGATGAACCAAACGCCGGGTTAAGGCGCCCGATGCGGATGCTCATCAGACCCCAGAAAAGGTGTTGGTTGATACAGACAGCAGGACGGTGGCCATGGAAGTCGGAATCCGCTAAGGAGTGTGTCCGTGAGGACGTACCCGTCACCCTCCTTGTACATGCCTATGTCCATATCGCACATCGCCCCCAGCATGTGCGATAGCCAAGGTTGTTCTCCCTTGGTGGCTTGCCCCTCCCTCTTCACCAGGTGTCCCCCTTTTGTGCTGGACATCTTGAGGCCCAGAACCTTGCTACCCGGCTCCTTCTCCAAGCCACTGCCGAGATAATCGTCCAGTTGTGCCTTCAGGATCTCCCTGGTGAATTTTGCGAGGGGGGGGGATTGGCCCCTTGTTGGTAGTCGGGGTGCCTAGTAGGCGAGCACATCGGTCTACCAGTGCTCTTCTGTACGTAGAGTGGATGGACGGTAGTCCTAGGCCTAGCCTATGACGGGGGAGGTAGAGGAAGCAGTCCGACATCCTCACCGGTACGCCTGCCCACGACTTGATCGCTTCCTTCAGGAGTTTGTCCACCTTCTCCAACTCCGTCACACGCACGTTGACCACCCTCAGCGGGTAGATCAGCCTTGGCACCACATATGTTGTCACATAGTCCAACTTTTGTGGGAATGTGAGCCCATGCAGCTGCTCTCCAGGCTGGAGCGGTTTCAGACCGGCCTCCAGGGTCTGGTCAAGCGGTGTCTTTGGTGCGAGCCACCCTGACACTCGTAGTTCGGCATAGCTGCGAGGCCTGTTGACCGTCGTGCCCAGGTATGTTACCGGGCGCTCGTCGTCTGGGCTGGCACACCGGATGTCTTTGCCCCCGATTTGCACCGGTGGCGATGGCTTTAGCGGCTTCAGTTCTCGTCCGAACTTGTACGCCATCAAAACGATCTTATCAGGGCTCAGTTCAACGCCTTGAACCTTTCCTCCACCCACCCAGCCATTTCCTCGATGCCAGCCCGCGAGCCGCTCGTTAACCCCACGTCATCAGCGAAATCCAGGTGGGCTAGCCTGACCTGGCTCCCTTGCAACACTATGCCATGCCTCGTCATTGGGGATTGAGGGGTCCCCTGGAGGGCGATGTTGAGGAGGAGTGCGAAGACTATCGGCGCCAGTGGATCGCCCTGGGGCAGTCCCACCATGCGGTCCATCTCGTCTTCGTGCACTGCCTCCCCCCTCGCTTGGCGGAGCAGGATCTTGCCTTTCCGAGCTCTCTCTACTATTACCTTTACCGTGTTAGTGGCTAAGCCGTACACAGCTAGGCATTTCGAGAGAGCATCGTGTCGAATCGAGCCAAATGCGTTCGAAATGTCCAGGAATAGGACATAGATTTCGCCTCTCCGGTCCCTCGCTTCCTGCAGTGCCGCCTCGAGCGTGTATAACAGGGTGGATATATCCCCCCCAGGCCTGAACGCCTGTTGCCACGGGGATAGCATGTTCTGGGTCATCAGCCAACGTATCCAGTACTTCTGCACTATGTGCGCGAAGACCTTCCACGCCGCCTCTTGGAGTTCTACCGGGCGCCAACTCGAAATGAGATCGGCCGGTTTCTCCGTCGACTTGAGTAGGAGTGCAATCTCAGAGTCACCAAACCCGGTGGGAATGTCGCCCGTGCTGAGGACCTTGTTGTACAGGTCGCTCAGGGCCTGGAACATTGGTCTTCCCCCTCTCAGAAGGTCTTTATCTGAGATTTTGGTCGGTCCGGGCGCCGTGCCCTTCTTAGCCCTCTCTCGGACCGCCTCTTCCACCATGTCCGCGTCTATTGTAAGATCAGCCTGTTGGGCTTTCTGGGGGTTCAGGAGGTCCTTTGCCTCCGTGACCATGTCCTTCAGCCTCTCCTTCCGCCTGGGCGTACTGACCGGCGGGACGTTGTACTTCCGCCGGTACTTCTCCCTCCGGGTTTTCGGTGTACCCAGCAGGGTAACCTCCGCATCCACTCTCGTACTAAGCCTGGCCACCGTCTCTGCCCTGCTGGTGGCATATTGCAGGGAGACCCTCTCGGTCGTGGCCCTCGTAGGCGGCGTAGCGTTCGGACTTGCCGGCGCTGGAGGACTCTGAGAAGCTTCTGTGTCTTAGTCGGGTCAAGCAACTGAGCGGGGTCTTTCCTTCTGGCCAGTAGTTGTTTGAGTTTGGCCCTTTCTGCCTTGCTCATGGTCGAGCCCTTCTTACAGCGCAGGATCAACTTGCGCAACTGACGGACCTCCTGCTTCAGTGCTGTGACCGCTGCTTCTCGTTCTACCTTTCTCTCTTTGCCCTCCTTCCATCAAATTGGCCAGGCAGCATCCATTCGCCATAGATGGTCCATACGCCACCCGTACAGTGTCTGATCCAACTGCACAGTGAAAATATCCTTGTCAATTACACTTCATTTCTTGACTTTTCTTTTTTGTACAAAACAGTAACAATTCTCACCTCCTCTAGCTTACTCTTTGGGACTCTGCAGATACAGTTGGTGCCGAAGTTTGTGTCTCTTGTCTGGATACAGCGCAGGCAGCAGAGGTTCTCGTAACCCTGCTTCTTCCACTTGGCGATCAGGTTCTTGTCGGCTATTCCCTCCTTCAGGCAGTACTCATACAGCTCTGAATGGGGTAAAGGTTGATGAGAAATCATGTTAGTCAGGTGGGTATGAGGTAACATAGCCCAACAGAACAGCCATAATACAAAACAAGACAATTCTGAAAATTCTTGATATATCTTTAATTCTTTGTAAGGCCATGTTGATTTGATTATATGGATGACATCCTCTGGGAACCCCAAAACTGATGCGAGCGTGCGAATAAAAAAAAAGGTTGGCTAAAAAAAAGTTGTTTTCATTATGAAATCTACGTGGTTTTGAAGGTTGAACAGATGACACAGAGTTACAGTATGGTTTAGCGAATAATCTAGTCTTCAAATTCATTTCTTTACATTTTCGTCTTTTTTGGTTTGATTTTGGCATTCTAAGACAGTGGTATCATTTTTTGCAACTTACGGTATGTCTTTGCTCATTTTGCAACTGTTTTGTACGATTTACAGTATGGTTGAAAACTTTTTTTTTTGGAAACGGCCGAAAATTCATGCGCGTGCGGATGTCATCCATATAATCAAATCAACATGGCCTAACAAGAGTTGTTTAAGTGTTTTATTTCTTTTATCACTTTATGTCAGCTCTGTTACACTGTGCAACTAAACAGGTGCTCTACGACAGGGTCAGGCTAGGCTAAGTCAACTGTAAAACACTGAGATGTGACAGCATCCTACATCTGCTTGGAGATTATAGCATGCTGACATTGACGTAAATCATTTTCAACCTTTATCCTGCTAAGGTAGCCACTTGGCACCAAACCTGTATCGGTTATAGCGTGAAGCAGCAGGGAGAAGGTTAAAGACAATAAAAGGTTACAGTTGCTCACCTCTGCTGATTGCCTTCCTGCGGTAGAACAGGTCGAAGATGTAGCGAGACTTCTGGTGGTGAATCTTAAAGATGGGCCAGAGTGCCTCCACTTTCCTCTTCCCCTCGTGTGGTTCTGTCTCAGCTGTGGGCAAGGTAAGTAACTTAGTAAGCGAATGGAAACTGCAATGGTCAAAGTCATGGAACTCCATCAATGTTACATATAATGTTTCTAATACACACATGTAACGTTACATGTATGTAAATTTTAATGGATACACCTTGATACTTCTTCAATCAGGATAGAAGGCTTAATATATGGATTAAAATTTGCCACAGAGATAGTTTCAGTATGTCTCAATTTATACAGATATGCTAGATATGTCAATTATATATTATCAGGTGGGGGGGGGGCACATCTGACTATAAAATTTATGATTGTATTCTTCCGAATCTTGTTAATACGGGCTACTTAACATTAAATGAGGTTAATGTAAAAACTGTATTTTATAAATCTAGAACGTATTATTTGCGTTTAGGAAGCAGCATATCTTTTACGTTTCTTTCATGGATTTTATTGTTGATTTCGTCGTCGCATCAACGTGGTTTTGTCAAATAATTTTTATCACCAACAAGCAACACAAAATTTGGAAGCCATACCTTCTCTCATTTTCTGGTCCAGTTCGTCCAGTGTAGGTTCAATCAGCTCCCAGCCTTCTGGTGGAGGCTTCCTGCTTCTTCTGACCTTGGGCATCGTTAATTAGACACTAGCAATCTGCTTTTTAGAACAAAAATACTTCCAGAAAGAAACTGCACTGCGAAAATGTAGCTTGGGTACAACAGGAAGTGACGTCAGAGGTCAAAGGTTGCAACAAAATCTTTCAGAAAACGTCGCAAAAAATCAAATTATATTGTCTAAAATCATAAAAATATTGACATCAACAACAATAAACTCGATTCTAGTATACATGAATACACGGATCTTATGTAGAAAATGGAAATTTGGTTTTCTTTTACAACCGGAAGTCACAAAGCATAGTGGGTAGCGCGGGCCCTGCATGTGCAGTGTTGCAATCTTTGTCGTCTGAAATCTGCAATATTTTCGGAATTTTGGTTCCCAATTTGACAACCTTTGGTCGAACGTTCTTCTCAACAGTTTCTTCAAGATGCCCAGGGGAGGTAGAGGCGGTGGAGGTAGGTCTGGATGTTGTCACAATGAATGTTTTGAAATGTCCATACTTGAAGTTTTATGTTCATGTGGAGGTTTTTTTTGCACATGAACAAATATCCCCATCTGGTCTTTCATGTACCCCCCTCCCCAGTCAGGTACTTTGCTTATATTCGTCTGTAAGGTAGTTGATATTGTCATGATTTAAATCCTTTAAATTGACACCAATAGTTATTAATATTAATTATTATCAATCCAAAATAGAATGAAATTATGAAGCAAAATTTTGTAAGGACATCTTTAGAAAAAATATATAATTTGAGACATACTGAAACTATTTTTGTGGCAAATTTTAATCCAACACGAGCTTTTACGGGTTGCGTTTACAGGGTTTGGTTATTAAAATCATGACATTAAATCAAGTATAAATTTGATGTTATATTTACAGAACTTGAGCTTGCATGATGAAACTTAATATACTAGTAGTTAGCGTGCCATCATAATATTAATAATGTGCAGAATTTATTTACTCACATTCACATAATTGCCTGAATATGTGAATTTTATGTATGATCTTTTGTAAAGTACGCCTTCAATGTTTTATATTCAGGTGGCTTTAAGAAGTCCCATAAGGGGAGGCATAGACAGTTCACTAATGAAGAGGAGCTACGACAACAGGCACTAGCCTCAGAAAAGGACCGGCAATGGCGGGTAAGTCACAGAGGATACAGCCGATAACAGCCATGTGAAGTAAACTGCCTAAGACGACAACTCCGGGCTGTTAAAATTAGCCTGGTTACCAAACCTATTATAGCTCCCGAGTCCTACATCCTCAATAGGTTTGGTAACCTGGCTAGTTAAAATATGATCTATGTCATAATGTGGAAAGGAGGTCACTATGGACTCTGTCACAACAAGATTCTTATTGCTAATTTCAATGGGAAACATATCTAACTCAAACTTGTAAGAGAATTTGGTTACTAGTGCCACATAATTTAGCATACAGAGGCTTTAGTCCTTACTATCATTCCTGTGTTGGGCAGAGATGGGGTTTTGTGCGCGTGAAAAATTTGCGCGTGAAAAACTTGCGCGTGAAGAATCTGCGCGTGAAGATATGCAAATTAGCTGACTCCCAAGGGATTTGAAAACTTTTTGCTGTTTTAAGCTTAAAAATTGGAAAAAAGACAAGAAAATAAAAATTTAACATCATTTTGCTTGCATTCTAGACTACATACCCTTGTTTTGTCCATTTTTTTGTGATTTCAGGTTATTTTTAAAGGTAAAGTTTTCACGCGCAAAAAAGGTTGAAATTTGCGCGTGAAAGAATTTGTTTAAGAAAGCATGAAATCAAACTTCTAGAATGGAGAAAAGCTTCAGATTGTTACATTTTACCATCCTAAACCTCATACTAGTAACTTTTCCTTGTATTTCTTAGAAATTGAAGTGATTTTCAAAAGGTCAGGTTTTATGGAAATTATGCAAATTAGCTTATTCCCAAGGGACCAACATTTTCAAACAAAAATTTTGGCTAACAGAGGGAAAATTATACCAGAGGACAACATTTTCCTGCCTAAGAATTTGGTACTGCATATTTTCTAACATATTTCTAAGACTTTCATTTTTCACGCGCAAATTTTTCACGCGCAAGTTTTTCACGCGCAAATTCTTCACGCGCAGAAAACCCGTTCCCGTTGGGCATACCTATGCCTCACAGGGTTCTAGCTAGGATTTAATTTTAGCGTAGTGGCACTGGCTTCATGATGAGGGAGCGAAGTGGAGCTTTTAAAAATTTGTGCTTAAAAAGAGGCCACTTGAGGTGTACCCAAAGGGAAAAAATGTTATTTCTAAGGTATGTACAATGTATCCTTGATTTTTCACATTTGATCTGGCATTCTTGAACAAAGAAATACAGTCACAATGCCCCTATGCTGTATTAAAAATTAGCATAGGGGGGAAATTTAGTGTAGGGGGTCAAAATTATAGCGTAGGGGGAAAAATTTAGCGTAGGGGGTCAAAATTATAGCGCAGGGGGCCCTTACGCTACTTTGCAGTAGCTAGAACCCTGATGTGCCACATGCATGTCAAAGAACCCATGACTTTTATTCATAACCCCTGCAAATACCAAAGTGTATGTTGAGAATACACTGTAAATGTAATACATGTAGGTCAAACACAGCCTGTATACTGTAGGACATAACTGAAGTATTGTGCTATACAACACACATACAATATAGGCCGAAGCATCTACATCACTGGAGACTGATGAAATGATATCATTGACAATGCTGCTGTCCCTGTTTGTTTTGACAGGAAAAGAAAGGGCTGATAGATAGTGATGAAGAAGAAGAGGAGGAAGAGGAACAGGGAGCCAAGAGTATGGCCAGGGGGAACCCAGGGGACCTCCCTCCCAGTTCATCTGAAGAGGAGGACAGCTCAGATGAGGAGGTACTCCAGGCATTGGCTTCTGTTAATGAATTGTGAACTGAAAGACTTACTTTATGTTTTTTTATGTGCTGTTTTGTTATTCAATCTTACTGTTAGTGTAATATACATGGCGTTACATGTATTGGCATTGATTAATGTACAGATGCAAAAAAAATCAACCTCATTTCCTAATTTTATTGTATGTACGTGTACTGGTGTATCAAAAAGAATGAAAAGTATTACCATCATCATATTGTTTTCATACACTTATTTTGTGCAGCCTAGATTGACTGTTCCTAAGTATCTAATTTGTTAGTTGTGCCAAGTTCATTTTTACAATTTTGTGTATGTCTCTGAAATAGGATGGCAAACCTAAAGGAGTAGAGCATCTAATAGAGGTTGAAAATCCCAACCGAGCCAAGAATAAGTTGAAGAAAGTGACAGACATGGACATGCAGGCTGCAGAGGGGGAACCCAGGCTGTCTAGGAAAGAAAGGCAAGTCTTGTTATAATTTGAACCGTGAAAATCAGTTTCCTTAAAGCTATCAGTATACCAATGCTAATAAGATATGGCCATGCTACAACGTACATGTCTATACATAGTTCTTAATTCTTATCAAGCATAGTACAGTACTTCTGTCATTTTACATAATTTATATTCTCCAGTTGCTTCACAAAACACATACGATTGATAAGCTTTAAGTCCTAATACATGTAGCCAGAATCTCTCAATGTTACTGTTAGGGCCCAAACCATTGAAAGGGGTTAGGGCTATGTTATATATACTAGAAGCATGATTTAGTCAGGCTATCTCAGGTAACAACTATGTCAGTCGACTTATCGTCCCTAATTCTCTTTGTTAGAAGATTTCTCTTTTGTGTTCCGGTGGTATGTGTTTTAGAATTTAAAGACAATAGTTTGTTGAAATGGTAACTAAATATATCATGGATTTTCCTTTGTAACCTAACTAGGGAAGAGATTGAAAAGCAGAAAGCGAGGGCCAACTATATGAAATTGCACGCGGAGGGGAAAACAGACGAGGCCCGAGCAGATCTGGCCAGACTGGCGCTCATTAAGAAACAGAGAGAAGAGGCAGCCAAGAAGAAGGAGGCAGAAAAACAAGGTGAGACGGGCAACTTTGTTTTTGGCGACACCTCAGGAGTGGAGCCTTCATTACTAATGGCTCGCAGTAAACAGCATGAGATAGAACCATGTTGAAATACTCAAACTTTCAACAACAACAAGTTTACTGCAAAATGTTCATATGGTGTTTTTTTAATGTGTTTATGTAGCCCATTGTTTGACTCATTTTTATCTTGACTTTTACAGAAAGAGAAGCAAAAGCAGCTGCAGCCAAAGACAAGAGAGCAGGAAAGAAATAACCTTAGCTGGACCAGTCTGTACATACTTGGAACTCTATGTATGTCTTCATCTCGTGCATGGCTGTACAGAAGATAAAAATATTCAACAAAAAAAGAAGAAAAAATTACAAAATTTGATGCAAGCTGCTGGTCAAAGTGCTACATATACATGTACTTCAAGACATAATGCAAAAACATGCCACTAACAGTAACAGGTAATGACTGTAAGTCAAGTAGTAACTGGATAGTAACTGTAACAGAGGAAACAATAGCCTTGGCTTTCATCGCACATATAGTATAGTGCTATGTTGCATGTACAATGTACCTGTAATACCATAAAAATGAAAGGAATACAAAAAAAATATATGTAGTTTAACTCCTCTATGCCTTATAGTCAGGATTTCTTGCAAGGAACTGATTTTTAGAGGAGAATGTCAAAATCTGTATGTTTATCAAAAATTAAAAAAAAATCTTCCGACTAGGGGAGGGGAGATCTTGAAGGTTTCTTTTACAAATTAAATATTAGAAGATACAAAGCAATCTCATCAGCATGCAAAGTAAATAGGTGTTACTAGCATTATAATAATGACTTTGAAGTATTTGAGTAAATTGTCAGAAATACTTGTATTAAGCACTTCAACTCATCACAAAAAAGTCATATTCTATGTAGAAACCCTGTTAGTTTCTTCTACACTTAAAATCAAATACTAGTATTGCTTCTTGCAGTTCACTGCCTTGTACTGTATTAGAGCCCAGGAAATAGTAAATACAATATATGCCATTATTCATGTTATTTACATAATTATGTTATTTCTTGACACTAGAACAACGAAATAAACAGTACAATACACAGTTGTGTGAACTTTTTTGTTGGATTTAGATGTTAAGGAGTTTTCATCAGTATGAAGTGCAATGTCTCACCAGCAAATTGACGATTATCTGGTCCATAACACTATGCTAACACTATAACGTTACTAATCCCATTGATATCTGTGCCCAAAACGTGCTAGTGTTGATGCTGTTACAGTATACATGTATATTGCTTGTAGTTGAGTCTTGAGTAACGGCTGCCCTTCTAGCGACACCTAGCGATTTGGTAAAACACTGCAGCCCGCCACACCTGTACAGAGCCGCACTGTCCCAGGGGAATGACAAAGCAAACAGAAGTTGCTGAACCGGTGCGTGCTAAAGGTCGGTTTTACCTGTCCAGCCCACGTAACGGAAGTCGTGCCAGGCCAACCCGCCACGGAGGACTCCTAGAAGAATTTCAAATCAACCGTCTTTTATGTTTAACATGTGACTAAACTCTTTTTAAAAGGGCGTATCTCACAACTGATTGCAACCGAATTTCTACATGATTTAGCTTAAGGTAAGTAAAGATTCAAATCTATTACTAGTATGTGTTGTTGATGACCACAAAACACAGTGTTCTCAAAATCTTATACCTTTTTCTAACTGCTTCCTCGTAATCTCATTCCCAGCTTTTTTTCACAACAGGTGTACCCTTGAAGTATCAAATGTCCATTTCTGAGGAACCCCCATACAACGATCGCGTGCTAAAATACCTGTAGTGTAATCTAATACAGTAGTCTACTATAGCTCATGTCGTTGTCTGTTGTCAGCACGGTCGCCATTTTGTAAATTTCTAACCCTCCAATATCTTGTCTTTCTCTAAACGGAAACCTAAAAAATTGTTCTAAACATCTTATTTGGTAGAATATTCTAGTATTTGAAGAAGTTTTCTATGACATTGCATGTAAATCTGCTGTGTACAAATTACAGTACCCTGCCTTTTCTGACCTCCAAATCCATTAATAGCGTGACCGTGCTCGGCAATACTGCACAGGCAATCGAAACGTAATCTATTTTCCATGTTTCCGGACATGGCATTACTCAGGTATAACCCGGTAATGCGTAGACTTGTATGCATGCGAGGCTTGAGCACACACGTAGTACACGAATGCTTTTACATTGCAGCAAATTTTGGTATAAGTGTCTATGTTTTTGGTGACATGAAGGTCGTTGTTTTTTGGTTATATATAGTCACAAATGTGGTACACCTTTTACAAATATTCTTCACAATCAAAAAGTCAATGGATCATATCAATATTAGTTTGGAAAGGATATGTCAAAATGACGAATAATTATGTGTTTTATCTATAATCAGTTTCCTTTGATGACAAACATTGCATTGTTCCCCATAGGCCATAGCACACTACAGTACACGGTAAAAACCGTGCGTGAGCACGAATATACTATATATAGTGACTCACTGCGTCAACCACCTGTGAATTCTCATATTACCAGCACTCTATTACCTGTAGAAGCCTGTAATATAACGTAAATCATGTAATGCGTTTTACGCCTGGAAGTAGTAAACACGTCAGCTATGTTTACACTGTTTCTTATTTACTGCGTGCTTTCTTTGTTTGACTTCCTTGACGTCGTGTCAGCTAACAGTAAATTGACAACAGCTCATTCTATGTACGCAAATCTACTTGTACCACAAGTCAAGCTGTTCTGTCTTATACACAGCACGTTTGACATAAAACTTAATGTCCACCAGACTTCGATACCTTTGGGGTACGTTGCAAAGTGTATTCTCCAAGCAGAGGTTGTAGGGAATGATCGTTACCTTTTTATATATGGCCGTTTTTTTTTTGTCCTGATCCCCACGCGGTTTGATTAGGTAACAATTACGTGATAATAACCTTGTACAGTGCGACTTTCTGCAGATCCCGTCGGTGGCTAATGGAGCTTCTCTGGCTAATGGATACTGCCTGGCCAATTTGATACTGTCTTTTTGCCACCGAGAGGGATCTGCTTGGAGATTATCAAAGTGTACTCCTATGGCCGGTTAACCTTCTGGCATATTATGTTACTATTTGACCGATTTCTGCTATTCTAGCAACCTGGTAGAGACTGATAAACTACAAAATGTGATTTTTGTTTTGTTTTTTTTCAGCTAGGGAAGAAATATGTCGGACAAGGAAACTTTGGTGCACAATATCGAGTTACCCGTGCACGAGGGGGAAGAGACTGAGGTGGTAGCCGAGGCAGTAGTGTTGGAACCGAATGATGTGACGGCCGGACAGGTGAGTCTAACGTTATGTTTTTTTTAAAGTTCGCACGTTCAAGACATTTATCATGACATGACAGAAACTTCCATATTGGATAGTGGCTGAGGACTGTGATGACCATGCTACATGTACTGTTCGTACATGGACGAATAGTACTAGTAATTCAGAATGGCAAATGGTTACGATAAGTACCCGGGTTATCAAACAGTAGTAGTGTAGATAGGCCCGGTTGTACTTTATGCAACATGATGTTTCGCTGCACAGTACTAGTGCCATGCTACATGTACTTCATCATGAAAGCTTTAAATGGGTATTTAAATGGAAAAGGGTCATCAAGCTAGAATTCAATTAAACTAATATTATAATGTACTGTGGTACACGTATTCCTCCTACAATTTATTACATATTCTCTCAATTTGTCCATCAGACCAACCCAGTATACGAGGATGGAACGATCCAGAAGGAAATAGAGAACGATAATGCCAAACAACACGGAGCGCAAAACGGTGCAGCACCGGACTGTACGCCAGATGGCGTTATTCTAAGTGTTCAGAATCTCCAACAAGTTGCCGAAGGTTCTACCACCGTTCAAATCGACAAAAGAGACAACCAGAAAGGCGAGGAGGTCCGACAGGGCATTAGGAAGACTCTGTGGTACCTGTGTAGCGGGTTTGGTTGCTGTATTCCTGTGTGGATAGCGAAGGGTGTCAAGGAATCTCGCATGGTGAGTTCTGTTTATTTCGGTTTATTTAGTAGACAATCAGAAGTGCAGCAAATGCAAACGTAGACTAAAAAAACAACAACAACGTTTCAGCAAACATAACAACTTCAGTAGGTAATGATAAAGTATATACAGTGTATAATACAGCAAACTTTTGTTGCTCTTTGACTATATATAACAATTAAGTCTTTACGAAAAATAGCAAGTATCCACTTGCAAGCAAAAGAAGGGAACATGTTCACTGACTTAATACGAGGTACATAATGCTAAACATTTTTTTCAGGCAAAGGAGGCCAAGAAAGAAGGGAACCTAACGACCTATCAGATGTTGAAGAACAAAGTACAGTACAGGTGGATGATAGCTGTCATCCCATTGGTCATCTTTCTGCCAATCATCATCATCGTTCTGGTGACGCGTCTTACCTGAGGGCCATTCCACTTTTGAAATTTACCAGGGGTGGATGGACAATCATACCCCCTTCTTTCACTGTATTCTCATCTCTAGATCTCTCCTTTTGTTTTTGTGTTAGTTGTTTATTATTGTTTGTATGAACTGTGGAGCTGGTACAATCCACATATAACTGGAGGCAACCTAGAATTAGTGTTTGCTGGTTGATACAATATTTTTGTGTCTTTTAAAGTGACATGTAGGTATTTTCTCTAGCTACCTCTTCATGTGTATATTTTGCCAGGACATGCCAAGAGAGCTCACTATTCACTATATCGGTCATCAGAAGCAACTACATCTGTACTGTTTAACGGGATAATATATATATATTTCTATAAAGAGCACATATCATGTAACAATACTAGTACATGTACATAAAAATACCGACTATTCAGAAGGAAAGTTTAACAGAATGTCATTGGTAAGGGGTGTTTGTTTGCAAGTGTTTTCACAGCCAAACCAGTGAATGTTTTATCTTAAACCTGTTTGCACGTACAAAATGTATTACAAGTGCTGTTTTTTGAAGACTTTGTATTTTGCATTGCCAAGAACAATGATTCTAGAATTGTCTGACAGATTTTGTGCACTAAGGCATTCTCCATTTCAAAACGTGCATGAAGGTGGTGCAAATGGGCAACGTTTTGACAAAATGAAAAGTAATATGGTTATGGAGTATCATGTAAAAATGTAAGCATCTGAGTAACCAGGCAGGAACTGTGTAAAAGTGATGAGATGCATTTCTAACCGGCCATCTTTTAGTGATATGCAGTATTATGCAGACTAACAAACATAGCATTCCTATGCAAGAGAAATGTCATTAAGAATAAAGTCTATTCACCTCAATCAAAAGATTCTTGTTGTCACTTCTGCAATGTTTAAACACATTTATATTTTATCTGTTTTGTTTGTTTTACTTGCTTTGCATTAGGTTAACTGTCTCATCAAGGCATAACAGATCATGATCAGTTTTATACAATAAATACATGCTGCGAAAGATGGTTTTAATATGATAACCATTGACTACATACTGTTATCATCTATGAAAAACAATATACATGTAATAGCACACAAAAACACACAAAATCAATGGATGCCAAGTTTTTCCCAATTTATTTCTGCAGCTCGCAAACAGAAAATTGAAAAATGCTCATTTCATTTTTTATCTCTTAATATAGGGTGCATTTTGAATGCTATTTGTTATAATAGTTGAGTAGTCACCTTGCTTAAATATGCTGCATATAAGAAGACATCTTTCTCAGTAGAGAATAAGAAACTTTACATAATACTTTTACTACCTAAATAAAAATTGTTTTCGTTTCAAAACAAAAACTGTTTTCATTTTAAGCAACCCATAAGTCATACATGGATTTGAAATAATTCATTTCAATCTATAAACCATGGCACTTTTAGCATTGTAGTAATAATTTCTTAACTAACTTAAACTACATAAGACAACTTTTAATACAAAGACAATTGAAATGATGCAAGTGCTTTTCTATCTGTTAGTAAGTTCCTGTTACCAGACAGGTAGGTTTGGTATTAAAATTGTAACATAAAAGATTATGTTGTTTCAAATATGAAGTGTAAAGATGTCTGGTATGTGTTACAATTTATCATGATATAACTGCACTATTTGAACATAACAAAATATCTAGAATACAGAGTTTTAATCCTGCAAAATAGCTGCAAGTATATATTATAACATTAACAACATTTGTTGGTTTTTGGTGGGTTGGTGGTTAGATACTGGTCAAGGAAATAGAATTGATAGTTAAGAAATACTGCAAACTTTGGCACAGATAGGCATAAATAGGCAAGAAATTGACGAAAATATTACCTATGGCCGAGACCACCCATAATACTAGTGCAAACTGACCATTAGAACAACAAGAGGGCTTTTAAGAAAAAAAATGGTCTGGACTTAATGCACTGCAAACATCTGGATCTAATACTAGTAACATTACAAAGATACATAATTTCTCCAAATGAACATACAGTCTATATGGTATATTGTCATTTCTGGGTTATTACTGAAAACTTTCAGTGCATAGTATGTGTTTTATTATACAGCAATATGAAAATTAAGCACTATTAATAAACTATTACATGAGCACATACACTAAATTCATATAACAAAAATACCATTTTGAACACAATTTGCTGTACAGCACTGTTTTCCACAAAATCTTATTTTCATGTCAACTCAAAACCTTTCTGTCCAAAATTAACAGTTAGCATCACATGCTTACAAAAATAGCTTATGAAATCTATTGCTGTTACAATAGTGCTTCACTTATTTTCCACCAATACTTGAAATGTTGGCAGTCCTGCAAACTCCTCTTGTGCTGAAAATGGAAACAGTAAATAAATCGTACAAAACAGTTGCAAAATAAGAAAATATATACCGTAAGTTGCAAGTAGTTGCAAAAAAATATTGGAAAACGATACCAATGTCGTAGAATGCCAAAATCAAACAAAAAAGACAAAAAGGTAAAGAAATGATTTTGTAGATTATTCGCCAAACCATATTCTGTGTCATTTGGTCAACCTTCATGACCATGTAGATTTCATGTTGAAAGCAACTTTTTTTTGCGAAACTTTTTTTTTTAAATTTGGCCATGTTGATTTGATTATATGGATGACATCCACGCGCGCATGAATTTTCGGCCGTTTCAAAAAAAAAAAAAGTTTTCAACCATACTGTAAATCGTACAAAACAGTTGCAAAATGAGCAAAAATATACCGTAAGTTACAAAAAAAACCATACCAATGTCGTAGAATGCCAAAATCAAACGAAAAAAGACGAAATTGTAAAGAAATGAACTTGAAGACTAGATTATTCGCCAAACCATATTCTGTGCCATTTGCTCAACCCTCATGACCACGTAGATTTCATAATGAAAACAACTTTTTTTTTGCAAAACTTTTTTTTATTCGCACGCGCGCATCAATTTTGGGGTTCCCGGAGGATGTCATCCATATAATCAAATCAACATGGCCTTTGCACGCTCGCATCAGTTTTGGCGGTCCCAGAGGATGTCATCCATATACATGTAACCAAATCAACATGGCCTAAGACACAATTTCCTTGTCAGGTATTTATGATATCTAAACAATTTTCTCCCCCTCCCCCAGTGTTACTAGAAGTACTTACCCAGTACGTTTGCACTCACTGCAAATTTGCCATCCACTGTCATTCTCTCACACTGGGAGACCCGAAGGAGGGGGTTTCCAGTCATCCCACTTAA